TCTGTTTCTAATTAAAGCTCCGTGCTAATTAGTTTAACACTAAGAACGTTTCTTATATATTACTATAGAAACATGTTGTACGTATACACGTGCACGATAGGGATGTTATATTGAATGTTAAGGAGTCTGGACTGTAGTGAGGAATTTGCTTTCCAGTTACCATTGGCCAAAGGATGATGTAGAAAGGAGTGTAGGTTTTTTACGTCATTGCATTTTGCATTCTTTTGGGCTGGCACATTCAAGTGTAGCTTTACGATGAGACATTATGCAATTGAAACACTTCAATCTAAAGTCAGAAACATGCCATTTTTTACTCTGTATCTGTAAATAGTAGGGATACATCCCTTTTTTTTAGCTTACACTGAGAAAATATTTTTGCTCCTGTCTTCAGATCAGAGAACACCACCGAAAAGTCAGGAAGGAGGCCAAGAAACGTGGACGCAAAAAGCCCAAGAAAGATCCAGGTGTTCCCAGTGCTGCACCATTCAAGGAAGAGCTTCTACGGGAAGCAGAGCAAAGAAAGCAGAGGGTAAAATACAGTTGGTGGTAAAAAGGACAAGAACTGAGACTATTCCTATCTTCAAGGAAGCTTTGTCTGTATGTGTGTTCACATGTGCATGCCCAGAGGTGCAATCATGGTAGATTGTAAATGGTCCTAGTAGACATGTACTTTGGAAAATAATATAATTATTTCCAGCATTATGCAGTGCGCTCGTTTATTTTTAACCTTCATTTCATCACTGTGTGTATAAACATGCTGGAAGTGTCACTTTTAATGTAATCAGAATCATCAGTGATGCTCAGATAGATAGATGTCCCATCAGAACGCTAAAAGTTAAGTCTTGGCATTACGTGATTGTACAGAAAATAAGGATCTGCTGCCTGCAGCGTGGAGTAATGTGACATGAAAGCAGCAGCCTTATCAGTTGTAATGTTGTTGCTGCATGGCTACCTAGCTAATGGATGTATTGCCTCTCATTTTGAGGCAATTGAAGGCAACAGTAGTCTTTTCAGGGTAGGGTGCAAAAAAAGTTCCTAGTGTCACTTGGACTGCCATGACTTCTAAATAAGCTGTCTCAGGAATGTTGGCCAGAAATAAGTAAATGGGGAGAAAGAACAGTCTTCTTACCACCTTCAAATGTGTTTTATCTGGTTTGGCTTTTTGTTTGAAATCAGCTTGAAGAACTAAAACAAAAGCAAAAGCTCAACAGACAGAAGGAACATGAAAAGAAGAGGAAGCTTGAAGCTAAAAAGAATGCAGCCAAAATCAAGGAAAAAGCAGAGGGAAAGGTAGGTATCTGGTATGATTTTGATTCTTTGAAGCTTATAGAAGCAATAAAAGTCATCCTGAAACTACATCTTCTTAAGCAGTATGTTACATTTTTGTGCCGTATATGCACGCAAGTATAACACACGAATTCTCAGTTAAATTTTTATTTGCATTCAGGAATCCTCTGGCAAATCTAAAGCAAAGACTAACAAACTGCTGGATAAAAATTCAAAGAAATCATTTTGCAGGGAGCTCAAGAAGGTGAGACATTTCAACTATTTTTATATAATTAGATGAGAGTCAGCAATCAGACCACTTGTTATTTTCCTTTTTTGCATTACTGTGTAGCTGCTAGAGAGTATAATGGTTGCTTGTGATAAACTTCAACACTGAAGGAAGGGATTTTTACGACAGAAACTGCGAGGGTTTCAGTCTTGTCTGGTGTGAGCTACTGAGACACCCAGCACTTTGAGGCATTAGACTTCTTGGGCCAAGGTCAGTACGCACTGAGTGATCAGAGAGCTCTTGTAGTAATGAGGTACTAGTGTCTTAAGGATTTCTTGCCTTTTGAAGAAAAAGATGAAAATTGCTTCAGCTTTCTGGTTTGTAGTTCCGAAGAAAGGAGCTGAAACGAGAACAGTCTTATGAAACCTCACCAATTGTTCTGTGAAATTCAACAGTAACTGTTGTAAGCCACAGCTATTCCAGAGTTGTCATCTGTCAAATGGCCTGTCATGTCTGATTTGAGAGTCTTCTCTCTTTTTTTCTAACCTAGGTGATTGAGGCCTCAGATGTGGTTCTAGAGGTTTTAGATGCAAGAGATCCAATGGGCTCCCGGTGTCCTCAACTGGAGCAAGCTGTAACTTGCTCTGGAGGAGACAAAAAGCTACTGTTGGTTCTGAACAAAATTGGTAAGAAGCACAGGTTTTCTTGAAGTGTTACTTGGTCAGTGTGTGGTTCTGTGGTAGGTGAGCTATGAAGAAGATTTTAAAGGAATCTGAGATTCCGTTGAAGACATAAGATCCAACTCTGAGCTCGCTGTCCTACTGAAGGGGTCACATTTCCTCCACCTTGTAGACTAGTTTGCTAAGAAAACACCACAGATAAGGGGCTAATGCTCATTTACCTTCTTTTGCAAGAACTTCTGAGGGTATTGGCCAGTTTCAGTCAAATTTGACAGAAGTTAAAGATCTTACAATTTTTAACATTTTTGTGTATGTAGATGAGTAGGCAGAGGTCATGATGCTGGTCCCCACTGAGGCAATGGTTGAGTTAAAGAACAGCAAATCAATGCAATAGTTGTATTTGAAATTTGGCTTTTGGAAGTATTTTCTGTCTTCTGTTGCTGTATGAAAGAATCCATACAAAAGTAAGGTGTAACCAGCTAAAAAGGCTGGAGATTACTGGATTAGCAGCAGCAAAAAAAAGGAAATACCAAGAGCGACAGCAAGAGCAAAGGGGAGCAAAGGGAACTTAGTATTAAAGTAGCCTTTGCAGGGATGATGGGATAATCCTTCACAGAACATCACTCTGTACCATACAGAGTCTCCTAGCAAGACCCCAGCATGAAAAACCTGATACAGGGGCCAAAAATGTAATTGTATGCTCTGCTTGAGGCAGAAAATGAAGACTGAAACTTGCAGCACTGGGTGCCTCTGGAGAACATACACAGTACTTTACTGGAGTTTTCAGCCAAATATTATTTGTCATAAAGGAACATACTAAATGAACAAAATACAGCCTGGTTCCTGATTCCACATTAGATTTCCTCCACACAGTGATATTTAAGATTCACAGGAGTGAAAAGACTCTGCTCTTTTTTCCAGATTTAGTGCCAAAGGAGAACTTGGAGAAATGGTTGAATTATTTGAAGAAGGAGTTTCCAACGGTTGCTTTTAAATCGGCAACGCTGATGAAGGACAGGACTATGGTAAGAGCACTGCAGGGCTGTCTCATGACTAAGTCGTATGTGTTTGCAATCATACATGTTGAGAAACAGGAACTTTTGTTCTTTAAAATTCCTCTTCCCCTTGTTTGATTATACTGCTGTGACTGATGGATATGCCTTTGCACTTTGACTAAGCGTTATGGTACTGTGGGGGAATCCTTGCTGTTGAAATACATATTGTTATTTGTGGCCAGGATGCTGGACTAGAGTAAAAGCAAGTCTTTTTTTTTTTTTTTACCGTAAGAAGGACAGTGAGGGGAGGAAGATGAGGAATTTTTCATCTTCTACGTAGGACGGTTGCACCAGTTACATCTGATCTGTTTTGTAGGTAAAGTGGTGCAGGCTATACTGCTGCATTCATCCTGACTGTAGCCATCAATAAAGGTAGCACCTGACATTATTTCATGAAGAGTATAAAGGGGCTAACTGCTTGTGTCCTAGTCTCAACTCTTTGAAGATCCTCGTTTGAGTCCTGTGTGTATCAATACATCAATGCTTCACAGGTCTTAACGCTGTAACAGCATAGTGAAATAGACCCTCCTGCAAAATGGTGCAGAAACTGCAAAGAAGAGAGCAGGTTTTGAAGTCCTTCAAAAAATTGAAGCCTCTTGAGTGAATTTGCAGATTTAAGGATTCTACCATCTGAAAGTACGTGATTATTTTATAGTCACACAATGAATCTGCAACACAGCCTGAACTGAAATAACAAGCCCTATAAGTCAGTTCACATTCCTTTTTCTCTTAGTAGTTGATGGCTACCTTTTTTACTGTCACTTAACTGATAGGCAATTTCCTATTAAGCTAATTCTTTCTGTTAGAAGAACACAATAACATCATCTAATAGAGGATAGGTAGATAAATAAATCTAAGCACACATATTTATCTTCCTAAATAGCTCCTGACCATGGGGGTTTTTTTGCCTTTGAATCCTGTAGCAGCAACAGTTCACAAAAAGACGTGCTCGTGTTGATTTATCAAGAACCACTGCATGTTTTGGGAGCAAATGCCTTTTGAAACTTCTTCAAGAGCACGGCAAGACTCAAAACAAAGCCATTCAGGTTGGGGTAGTAGGTAAGTGTTTGGAGAGACAGGAAGAGTTTCCTTCTCCCATTAAGCTTTGGTGTCCTGTATTGCAAATTGGGTAAAACAACTAACACATGACTTTCTTTTGGGCTTTCTAGTCATTGTTCTTACTTTCATCTAAGACTCAATATTGTAGTACCTGAGCTGACAGCAATCTGTGTTGCACTTACATGCATGTAGTGTATGTGATTTGTGGAAGACACATTGCGTGAGGCCTTAGCTGATTCACCAGCTTAGGGAAACAAGAGAAGCAGGTGACATAACACGCAGCTTGCACTGCGTTCCTCCTGTCTGATAAGATTTGTGGTGTTACATTCAGTGATGTCTTTCATGTCCCTTTTATTATCAGTGTGAGAAATGAGGATACAGACTTTGTCTTAATTCTGTAGTGAAGACTTCAGATCCAACTCTGATCTCACACTGAAGATGTACTTTACAAAAGACACCTGGAAGAAGCAGTTTTGATCAGTGTCACATAGGCTGAATTTTCCTGTTTAACTTAACAAGGATTTATGTGGTTTTCTTCAGGTTTCCCTAATGTGGGAAAGAGCAGCATAATCAACAGTCTTAAAGGAGTTCGTGCTTGCAATGTTGGCCTAGCAAGAGGTGTTACCAAGTAAGCTGAGTGATAAAAGCTGTTGATTTCCCTGTTTGTTGTTGTGTTCTCATTACCTTGAGTTTGTTGTTTGTATACAATTTTCATCCATTAAGGGCAAAGCATGCCCCTGTGTGCAGTTTTAAATGCACATTTCAATTTGCCAGGATTAAAAATACTGATCTATGTGATACAAGCTGTCACAAGGGAATACAGTGTATAAACTTGCTCTTTTTGTACATTTAGATTTCTGTCCTACACAAAGTATATGATGAGAAAGCACTGAAACTGACTCTGTATGAAGTGCATTCAGTCCAACGCTGAGCTTTGTGTCTTGCATCCCTCACCATTACTGGTCCTTTGCTAGTCGATTTATCTTTATCTACTCACAGTGCATTTCTCTCTGAATAGGTCCATGCAAATTGTGCACATTGATAAACAGACAAAGATATTAGATAGTCCAAGTATAATTGCAGATCCTTCCAACAATGCCCTGGCTCTGGCCTTGAGAAGTATCATAGACCCTGAAGAATCAGGCTCAGCAGATGTGCTTGAAGGAGTAGATGCCATTCTAAATCACTGCAGTAAACAGCAGGTGAGCTCCATCTTTTTCCACATCTCTCACTGCATTTGACTTCTCTGTAGGTTCCTTAGGCCCATAACCAAAGTTCACTTCACTTCAACTAGTTCTGGTAGCTTTTGTACTGCTTTTCCCTAACTATACAGAGTGGCAAACTGGCTGTTGTATCCAACACTAAATCTGATCTTTCATCTTACAAATGGAAGGCAGAAACAGCATGCCAGGATCCTCTTGGCCAGAGTCTGTTTGCCCAATGACTCTTCTGATTTTTTAAAAAAAACAACTTTTAAGGTCTCATCACAGCATCACAGAGTGAAAAATGAAGATATTCTGACTGCTTCCTATTATTACAGTGAAGACCTCAGATCCAACTCTGATTTCACTCTAGTTTCAAGTAAATTAACCTAAGCCTAATTCCCATTCAGTTCTGTGATAACTGTTTTTTCGCAAACCAGTGTGCTGTCTCTATACACCCACTAGTGTGGGTGAATGGCAGATGAATTTGTTGATGAAGTAGGCATTTTGCTTTCTAATGTTTACTCCCACATTCAAGAGAAAAACCGCTTTTCACATACTTGTTTGTCCTCACTGTAACCCAGTTTGATTTGCTTTTTTATTACTAAAACTAAGAGAAAAGTGGATATCTCTTTCTGAATGCACCATTTTCTTTTGCACTAGGTAATGATGCACTATAGTATCCCAGATTTCAGGAACACTGAGGAGTTTTTAACTTTACTTGCTCAGAAAAGGGGTATGCTGAAAAAGGGAGGCATTCCTGACATAGAGAATATAGCTAAATTACTACTTTGTGACTGGACAGGGTACGTATGCTATGAATTTTGCTTTATGCTGCTCACCTCTGTCACATTGTTAATCCAGCACAGCAGAACCTCTGAGTCCTGAGTACTTAGAAAGAAGAGGCTCCTTCCTGCCCTCCCCCCCACACCCTTCTGGTGTTTTACTTTGGTAAAGAGAGAGGGATTGGCTAACAGATTTAGAGAATGCCATCAATGGCTAATTTTCTAAAGTAGTGAAGGATACATAGCGTCAAAGCATGTTGCACGTTACTCTATAGCCAGTTTGCTGCCTTCTGCTGTAACTCTGTTAAGGGAATTTGCCTTCCTCTCAAATACTGAGTCCATATAGTTCTCTTCCACAGACAGGAAAGGGTATGGCAAATTTTCTATCGAAATCTATGGTGGTTCCTGTATTCTGAGGGTGGAATAAATGTAACTCAGTAATTGAGTGTGACTTTTTCCCTTGCTCAGTGTAACTCAGTAATTGTGACTGTTTCCCTTGCTCAATGTAACTTGGTAATTGAGTGTGACTATTTCCCTTGCTCAAGTGGTTCACCTGCTTTTACAGCTCATGATTTTACAGGCAGATGATTTGTGGTGACAAAGTATGCCATTTCTTTTTCCTCTCAGGAGTGGGCTAGCCACTTAATACTGTTATTGACAACTTCAGAGTCAAATAGCTATGTAATTGCTGTTAAACAGATGATAATAAATGTGTAGTTAGGTTGAGGACTTTGAGAGGTTTGTGCTCTGGGTTTTATTTTTAGATACAGTGATTTAACTATGTTATCTTTGGTTGTTTTTTAACACTGATATTTTATTTTCCCAGAGCTAAAATAAGCTACCACTCACAACCTCCAGGATCTCAGAGACTGCCACCATGTCTTACAGAAGACAAAACAGCTGAAATGCAGGAGTGCTTTAATTTAAAATACCTAGAAGAAGAAAACAACAACACTGTTCAAGGTAGGACTTTTACTGTAATACACTGCTACCATTAAGAGTGGTAGTAGTTTTAATGGGAGATTTTGAATGGAAGTCCTCCTGACATTTATGTGATACCTTTGCCAATATGCAGTGAGTATGAACCTTTTAAGAAAGAAATGGATTCTGATGCAACAGAACAGTGCATCCATGTGCTGTCTTAACACAGATTACCCCTGCTAGTTCTTAGTTTCTGCTCATCTGACCTAGCCCTCCTAAATATGAAATAGGGGAAAAGAACGTTGAAGAGCACATAAACACTGGCTAATTAGGCCAACAAAATACATTTTACTCTGTACAATCTACACTCAAATGCAGGTCTTTCAGCTCCTAGCAATATTCTGTAGATGCCTCAGGGAAAGCCATTCTCAGAGAATTGTCCTTGGTTCTACCTGCTTATGTGGGAGTGCCGTCTTGTGGAAAGGAGGGGGCAGGACTCTCATTTTCTAGCCCTGACCTAAAATGGCTGCCCTCTCAGAGGGTAGGCATTACATCTGGTGTTGTTTAACAGTGACTTAACAGACACTTCCTATGCTTTTCCCAGCTTTAAAATACCCCAGTCCAGCAAGTAGCATCATTTTCCAGTCAGCTGGTATGACAAATGGGACAATAGAAGAAAACGAAGTGATAGAGGTAGCATCAGAGTGGGAAAACTTGGAAACAAGCAAGGAGGGGGAAGAAGAGGAGGAGGATCTCACAGAAAGTGATGATGATCAAGACTATGTAGAAGATGACGACGTCAAAGAGGTAAATCAGGGTTTCGTTAGGCTGCTTCTACCTGTTTAGATTCTGACACCAAGTACCCAGTCAGTATCTTGCTGTAAACTGAGAATGTGTAGGCATTGTTGAGCCACCAGGAGTAATCGGAAAAGTCTTTCTCCTGGAGATAAGTGTTGGGCTTTTTTGCTTAATTAAGGAAACAACATTGTTCTAAGTCAGTTCTAAGGCAGTGTGTTCCCGACCAACTATACAAGGGGACATCCACAATATCATCAGTCTCTGTTAGGTTTCATTTGCATGGGAGAATTCATTAGTGATGTCTGAATAAACACATGTCTGACCTCTCTGACTTGTAGGAAAGCAAAGTTCAGGTCACCAGGAAAGCAAAGCTTGGAAAACGACAAACAAGTCCTACAAATTCAGAAAAGCAGATAGCAGGTCTGTATTAAAAACCCTGGCTTGAAGGATAGTCTCTAGTACTCTAGCACTTGCATTGGTTTCACTAACATGATTTTCTTTGTTCTCAGAAAGTGAACATTCCAAATCACTGTCATTCAGCTTGGATAAGACAGCAGGTGAAGATGATGCCTATGATTTTAATACAGACTATGTGTAATGAATTATGTGTGAAGACAAGGTTTGGAGACTCTTATTACTGGCTTTCAGAAAAGTCATGAAGACTTGTATTGGGGCAGAAGTTGGAGGAATGCTGCATACCAGAGCTGCTGCAAAGATTCACAATTATTACTTTGTCAAATAATGTACATAATACTATAGCTGCCTTGATTGTTTCAGATTTTATACAAGTCTAGGAAACTGACTGTATTCGGCTTTAAGTCCTAAACTTTATTTCCTGTATTAAAAAAAAAACTATTTTAAAAAATTCCTAATAGACTCAGTTAGTCTATTCACTTTGCCTTACAAAAAGATGTTTCAAAAGGATAAACCCTTTGTCTTTTTCTTTGAACAATGGTAAATGTTTAATTCTAGTCATGTTCAAGCAATTAAATTTCAAGGTACATTTCCATCCTCCTTAAAACTTAATTGCTTTTCCTAGACACTACAGAGACTGTACCCCTAGAGCATGACTTAAGTAAGTCAGTAAGTTTTCAGCATACTTACACAAAACTTGTAAAACTTTCATATGTAAAGGTTTGCTAGAAAATGCTACTTACTTCAGCTAGATATAAGGCATTTTATCTAAGCACTGCTTTATATGTTCAGAAGTTTCACTGGGAAAGGTAACAGATTATTATATTAGTAATCTGTTTTCACTAGGGAACAAGCTTCTTGTTCTTACAGTGCTCTTGAACAAAAGATGTATTTCCTGATGACACCTATTATATGTGGCAACAACTGGTAACTAAAGCAAAACATTGCCCTGTGCAATAAGGACATGTTGCTGCGCTCAGCCTATAGCAGAACTGAGGTAGCAAGAGAATTACCAAGAGGCCCTGCAGCTGCTCAACAAATTAAGCATTTAGAATAAATGCCTGACACCAACACTGTGCCTGTTTTCTTCCTCTTAAAGGTCCGATTTCTGTGTTCTTTAATAGATAGTTGTATTTTCCCTAAATGTATGTTGAGGTACAGTCCTCCTAGGTAGCTTAAAAAAGTATCAGGTGCAGACACAGACACTTTATTTCAGCCTGGTCATGAGAATTAAGTTGGTGTCAGCTGATCTAGTACAATCTTTCGAAGTTTGGTAACTGAACTTATTTCATTATTCCTAACCACTTCAAGGATAAGAATGGTTCTTGTTCATCAAAACTGAGGAGAAGAAACAATAGGTAACAAACCACAGATCAGCATCCATGACAGAAACAAAATTATAGGCAGTGACTGCAATGAGTCAAGCAGTTGGAAGTCCTTTTAATTTATAAAGCAGTACTAAAACCTTGTTCAGCCACATGAACAAGCCTTTTAGCTCTCTGCTGCCCTGTATCTCAGACCACGCAACACTGAGCCTGTCACTGCATTAACACAAAGCCTGCTGTCTAAACATCTACTAAGGACTGTTCACAAGCAATATTATTGAATAAAAATGACAACTTGAGTTCAAACCTGTATTAAATGGAATAGCTGGCACAAAAGCTGCTGGGATATATCAGCTAATAATAACCACTACTCAACACTACAAATGCAAAAAAACCCACAAAACTTGCCTATAGAAAAGGAGATCGGCAGCCAGCTGCAAAAGGGCACAGGAATCTCGCCTGATGAGTTTAAAGGGCCAGACTGGGAAAGGTATGGTAGGAAAAACTATAGCAGAGCCATGCTTACTTGAGAGAACTACGAGGAGCTTAACAATTACAAAATTAAGCTGCAATTCATACAGCCTGATCCCCCAAATAAGCATTTTGCACAATTTTAGAATGAGATTGCTTTCGCAAAGATGAGATCACTTGACTTTAGTTTCAATCGCTTGCTACTGTATTTAAGTACAACAGAAACACACTTCATGTATCAGATCAAGACTAGAATCATTGTCATTTACCTAAGGTTTGAGTCAACATGTTAAAATTAGCTTTTATTTTTGAACAGTTTTCTCCACCACTGTACAAAAAAAGTTTTAGTGTTCACTGGCAGTTAAAACCACTTTGCATAGTGAAATAATACTTGAAAAATTAATCTTTCAAAAAAAAAGATTCAATTTTGCAGAATTCTGCAAGAAAGACTTACACAGAAATGGTTGGGAAGAGATTTCATGCAAGAAAGGGTTGTTGATGAACCTATTTCACAGGATAAGAAAACAAAACAAAAACCCAACAAAACCCAAGCAGCTCTTAATTACAGTACATCACTGTGCAATATTTGCATGGTGCAAGCACCAGCTGAAGTTGTATCTTGTTCTTAGAAACTGTTTCTGTAGCTGACAAAATGATCCTCCTCTAGAAGACTTGTAGTAAAGAGCAGAAGAACACGCAACAGACATAAATGAAATAACAAAAGTGCTAGTTTGTGGAGATCCTTGCTTTCTCTAGTGCTGCTGGAGTAGCATCTTCTGTCACACAAGTGAAGTGAGACTCCTTTGACCTGCACCTGAATAAGTGCATTACCTTGTGCTCCAGAAGGCAAGGACTGCTCTGTAATACAAGTTGGCTAACAAAAAGTTCTGCTTGGCTCCAGAAGTTTCCTGAGAAAATGCCATCAGTTATTAAAATTGACTCTACTTTGCTTCATAGGCTTCTGAATGTCTGCGGATCAGGCTGAACTTGCCTGTAGGGTCAGGGACATACCACTTCTCCCAGACTTCAGCATATGAAGCTGTTCTTCCCCATGGTTTGAAATGTCCATTCCAATGGAGCAGCTTGGCAGCTTTCACAAACTGAGGAGAGTACCTTTTTCCAGCACTAGACCCTTTTATTGAAAAACAAGCGTTAGCGCCTGAAATAAAGGCAGCAGAAACACCAACATGCAATATTTTAACTTCAAAACAAAGGATTTTAACAAAGGAAATCTTGTCATTTATGGAGAAAGGAGGTGATATGGGGAGGCAGAAATCAGGGCAAAGTGAAAAACATAATCAAGTGCAACTGAATGCCACTTTGATTGGTCTCGGTATCTATTTTAATGTACTGCCTTAACTTCCGAAGTTCTTTAAAACCCCCTTAATACCCAGGTGTATTCAGCAGCCTATGTATTGTTCATTGGAAACAACCTAAGAAAGCTCTCCCAGCACTGGGGTTTCACCATTAGAAAAGATATGAATGTCTGTTCCTCTCAACAATCTTGGAGGAAATACCTAGGATCACTTCAGATACAGTATGTATGTGGAAAAATAAAAGGAAAATGAGAAATAATTTGAGAGTAAGTCAGTTCAAGAACTATCCCCCTAGCAGTTCAAAAAAGAACATGAAGGATCAGGCCCACAAGCCCCAAGATAGTATTGCAAAGCAGTGTTTCTTAAAGAACAAGGTACAAAATGAGGGAAGAAAAGACCTATTTGCTGCATCATCAACAAGGTGTCCAGCTACAGACCTGGAAAAACACACTGGGGGCGCACTGTCACAAATGTTTCATACATACCAAGATGCCGGACATTCCACATGGGATCAATACTGGAATGTTGCTTGTAAAATACAATTAGCAGTGGAGGTGTCGTGATGCTGCCAGCCAGAGTCCTACTGTAAAGTTCCTCTCTGGAAGAGAAGATGAAAAGAAGTTGGGAAAGGATGCTTGTACAGCCCTAAATCAGTTGATTTTCACTTGCAGCTGCATGACAGGAATCCACAGATGCATACACAGCCCTTCATTTAATAGTTAAATGCCATCACCATAACCCGGTGTCTGACCCGCTGTCGCCCCCACCTTCGGGGTACTTACACTACATTAAGTGCCATCCACTTCTCCAATTGCTTAGTGATGTTCTGTAATTTCCATTCTGTCAAATTTGCAACAAAAACTCCTGGATTGAAAGAGCAGGTGTTGGCTTTCATGGCAAGCTTTCGGATGGTTTCTTTTTTGTAATCTAGAAACCCAATGTAGTTATACTGGGGCAGGAAAGAGTAGAAATTAGCTTAAAATATGGTCAAATTACTATTTAAAGAAAAATTTTGCACAACTCCCAACAGCCAAGCATAATTTGAAGTTGTTAAAGCAAATACCACTTCCTTTAACACAAGAAAGAAAGCTTAGAATCATAGAATTCTTCAGGTTGGAAAAGACCTTTAAGATCATCCAGTCCAACCATTAACCTAACATTACCAAGTCCACACTAAACCAATCAAGGGTAGACTAGACTAAACCATCTCCCAAAGTGCCACGTCTACACATCTTTTAAATACCCCCAGGGATGGTGACTCCACCACCTCTCTGGGCAGCCTGCTCCAATGCTTGACTACCCTTTCTGTGAAGAAATTTCTCCTAATATCCAATCTAAACCTCCCCTAGCACAGCTTGAGCCCATTTCCTCTGATCCTATCGCTAACTACTTGGGAGAAGAGACCAACACCCACCTCACTACAACCTCCTTTCAGGTAGTTGTAGAGAGCAACAAGGTCACCTCTCAGCCTCCTCTTCTCCAGACTAAACAACCCCAGCTCCCTCAGCCGCTCCTCATAAGGCCTGTGCTCCAGACCCTTCACCGGCCTTGTTGCCCTTCTCTGAACACACTCCAGCACCTCAATGTCTTCTTGTATTGAGGGGCCCAAAACCGGACACAGTATTCCAGCTGCGGCCTCACCAGTGCCAAGCACAGGGGGACAATCACCTCCCTGCTCCTGCTGGCCACACTATTCCTGATACAGGCCAGGATGCTGTTGGCCTTCTTGGCCACTTGGGCACACTGCTGGCTCATGTTCAGCCGGCTGTCAACCAGAACCCCCAGGTCCTTTTCAGCCAGGCAGCTTTCCAGCCACTCTTCCCCAAGCCTGTAGTGTTGCATGGGGTTGTTTTAAAAACATAATTGTATAAACTACATATTTTAAGGAATGCTGCATGTTCTTAATAATACCATATTATTCATATGGTACCATTCCCAGAAAAAGTACTTTTTCTATCTCCCTCCGATGTTCTAAGATCTCCTACAGTTCCAGACTGAGAATTGCTCTCATTGCAAAGCACAGCAAAAATTCAAAGTGCTTTTACTGTGCCTAAACAGAAACTGCGGGTGTC